AAAAAAAAAAGAGAGAAACTAACACCATGTATGTTATCCAGATCCATTTACACACATTTTGACAGAGTTGTAATCAATATGAAACGCACATTGTGTTCTGCTTTGCTCTACCCATTTCACATACGCATCTCCAAGTATCGACAATCTACATATTTATCACTTTCAATGACTACATATGTTCCACCAGGTTGGTAAAAGGTAGTTTGCTTAGCCACTCCCATATTATTGGACATTTGAGGGGTCTCCCTGCTCGCGACTCACGTATCACAAATGTTACAACGCGGGTAACTTTCAGTCTGTTTTTATTTAATCCCTGGCATATTTCTGAGTCCTCTCCCTCAGCTCTCATATGTGCTCACTTAAAACCCACAAGAAATGGGGCGCCTGGGTGGCTCAGTCGGTTAAGCGTCTGACTTTGGCTCAGGTCATGATCTCACGGTCCGTGAGTTCGAGCCCCGCGTCGGGCTCTGTGCTGACAGCTCGGAGCCTGGAGCCTGTTTCGGATTCTGTGTCTCCCTCTCTCTCTGACCCTCCCCTGTTCATGCTCTGTCTCTCTCTGTCTCAAAAATAAATAAACATTAAAAAAAAAAAAAAAAACACACACGAGAAATGACATGTTGCAAACGTAGTAAGTGAATTGTGGGAAAGTAGGGAAATAGACAAACAAAAAGAAAAACCTCGAACCTCAGCATCCAAAGAGAATCACAGGTAATACCATGATAGATATAACCATGTCAGCCTTATTGCTGTGTGTGTGTGTGCTTTAAAATAAAAAATGGGCTGGGGGGGAGGGGCGGGGAGCGTGCCTGGGTGGCTCCGTCGGTAAAGCGCCTGACTCTTGATTTCAGCTCAGGTTATGATCTCACAGTCTAAGTTCGACCCCCCACACTGGGTCCTGTGCTGACAGTGGGTAGCCTGCTTGGGATTCTCTCTCTCTCCCTGTCTCTCTATTCCTCCCCAACTTGTGCTCTTTCTCTCTCAAAATAAATGAATAAAACCAATTTAAATACATAAATAAAATACAAATACAAAATAGGGGGCACCTGGCTGGCCCAGATCAGTGGAACATGTGACTCTTGATCTCAGAGTAGTGAGGTTAAGCCCCATGTTGGGTGTAGAGATTACTTAAAAAGTGAAAAAATCTTGGGGCGCCTGGGTGGCTTAGTTGGTTGAGCGTCTGGCTCTTGATTTCAGCTCAGGTCATAATCTCCCAGTTCGTGTGTCCAAGCCCTGCCTCGGGCTCTGTGCTGACAGGGCAGAGTGTGCTTGGGATTCTCTCTCTCCCTCTCGCTACCTGTCCTCCCCCCCCCCCAAAATAAATAAACTATAAAAAAAAATTAAAAAATTAAAAAATGTCAAAACACATAAAATTTAAAAATGGGATCATTTTTTACATGTTGTTTTCCAATACGTTTTCACCTGATACCATAAACACTTCTCCAAATAATACATATTGACCTACAAGCTATCCTTTTAAATGATCTTAACATTTCTGTCAAAAACTCTTCAAAGGTTCGTTTTCAAAGGTGGTAGCCAAAGGCCTCATGTTCTCAGGTTCTGGTCCCAAGCCCTTACCTTTCCTGCGCACGTCCCTTCTCTCCAAAAGTCCTGGACGAGCCATACTACGCACCATTTCCCACCGATGTCCGGAGCCTTCCCTCCTCTGAGGTTTTGCCCACGTGCCCACGGTGGAAATCTGCCCCATGAATCAGGGCCAGCCTAACCACTCCACCTCCACGAAGCCTTCTGGATTTCCTGGAAACAGTATCTCGGGATTTTCTGATTTTCCCCAGCACTCTGTGCCCTTCTAGTACTTAGCATCCTCTCTCTTGGATTACGAGTATTTTAACTCCTAGATAATAAACAACCTGCAGCCAAGGACTGTCCCTAACTTATCTTTGTACCCCACACAACACCTAGGACATAGGGCTGGTGGTTGGGCAGTACCTAAGTCTCCGTGTAAAATCAAAACAGGTTACTACAAGGGGACGCCTCCTCTAATTATACCACGGATTCAAAGTCTGTGCATCCATGCTCAACCCGCTCCCCATGAATAAAGCCCCCAGGCCTGCCTGTCTCTTCCTCTCCCCGGCTCAGGAAGGCCCGACCTCTCTCTTCTGCTCCCTGAGACAGGCATGCTGGGTTCCAGCCCCAGCTTCATCTTCCACACAAGCCCGTCCACCACTCTTTTTCCTATCCTGGATTTAAGACCAAACGGTGGCAGTCCAGATATTTTGTGGAGGTTTTGACACAGGCTGGCAGGCAGGTCAGATGTCACATTGCTGCCCTGTGGTCCGCCGAAAGTGCCCATGAGACCCCGGGGATGAGAAAGCAAGTTTATAGGATGACGTGACCGAGTAACAGAGAGGCAGGTGGGAAGCAGATGAGCAAGAGGTTGGCATAAAGGCCAGAAGGCCGTGATCCTGACGGCTGCTTCATCGCTGTGCAAAAGAGGGCTAGGGCTCCTGGGCAGGGGCAGGGGGTTGGAGGGTGAAGCAGCCAGGGGGAGATATCTCTGGGAACTGCCTCGCCCAGCCCCTCGGCAGAAGCTGCAGCAAAAGCATCTTTGGGATTTTTCCTTTACGGGGACCACGAGGACTTGCTGGTATTTATATAGAACTTTCGAGTTTCACCCCATCTGCACGGTGTTTTAATGCAGGTCTTTACTCCCTTGTCAGCCCTGAAAGGGGCTGGGGGGACTGTAAA